AAAGAAAAAAGCTGGAAGTGGCGCTGTGGCTCAAGTGGTAGAGCGCTAGCCTTGAGCTGAAGAGCTGAAGGACAGAGCCCAGACCCAGACTTCAGGCCCCACGACGGGACCTAAAAAAAAAAAAAGAAGACTTGGTTTCATGGGCTAGGAAGGTGGCTCAGTGGTAGAGCACTTGACTTGCATGCCTGAGGCCCTGGGTTCGATTTCCCAGCACCACATAAGCAACAAGAAAAAAGCCGGAAGTGGTGCTATGGCTCAAGTGGTAGAGCGCTATCTTTGAGCTGAAGAGCTGAGGGACAGCGCCCAGGCCCAGTGTTCAGGCCCCACGACCGGACCAAAAAAAAAAAAAGAAAAAAAATAGATATCTTGAAGCATTATAATAGGATCCTATGAGACACCACACAATTCTACTAGGAAAGCTCCAAAAAGGTAATGATTGTGATATTTACCTGTGAATCTTGGGGAAAGTGATTGTGATATTTACCTGTGAATCTTGGGGAAACTGAAGAGAACAGACACAGAGGGCTAAGAGACTATTTCCCAAAAGAAAGGGTTTGGTTGTACCACACTGGGTGATGGACAGACAAAAATGGCTGGTACTTGAATCTGTATTTGAATCCTCTTGTCCTGCAGCCAGCGGTACTGTGTCTGTAACCCAGCCCTTGTGCGCCAGTTCCGGAACCCAGACACAATCTTCATCCTGGCTTTTGCCATCATTCTCCTCAACACTGACATGTACAGTCCCAGCGTGAAGGCTGAACGCAAGATGAAACTGGATGACTTCATCAAAAACTTAAGAGGTGACTAGAATTTCCCATTGGCTTATCTGCCCATCACCTTGTGGTGGGTGGAGTGGAAGTGAGGGGAGGATGAAGGAGATCCCAGCTCTTCTTGAAAATTAACCTAGGGTGCTATGGCTTCCTTCCAAAGCTGGATATCCCCAAGATATTCATTTATAAATTCACTTAAATAGTTATTTGTGGGACTGGGGGTGTCCCTCACAGGCAGAGTACTGGCCTAGCACATGCAAGGCCCTGGGTTTAGTCACCATCACTGAAAAAAATAAAGGCATTTGCTCATCCATACACTGAATATTTACCAAATGTCTAACATGTATCAGTCATCTAGGTCCTTCATGGAACCTTCATGGAACATTTATTAAGTACTAGGTGCCCAGCTTGGCATCTTACATGATTTTTTTCACTAAGTACTCAAAAATACTTATAAGATAAGTACTTCTATTATTCCCACTTAGTTCCCAATTATGGCAACAAACTTGATATATAACAGTCCTGGTTCTCTTATATCTCTTTCCTAAGTCATGCCCTCAACCATTCCACACCCCTTCTTTCCTTCTCTTTCTTATTTATGTCCATAAGGATTCATTGAATCATTTCATTCATGTATTCATTTATTTGCTAAGCCAACCAACCACCCAGCCCATGGACACTTTATTGGGTACTTAATATATGCCAGCTCCTATGATAGGTGCCATGGACAATGGAGAGGATTCTACCATAGTCCCTTCTCTGAGAGAGCTCCCAGCTTGTGGGAGAGTCTGACTTGTAGTGTCAGAATAGCCAGAATGTCAGAGGGGTGTAAGTACACTCAAACCTCTGAAGAGGAAGAACCCATCTCCCCCCTGGATTCCTGGAGGAATTTTATTTTTGTGGTGAGCCCTGGGGGCAGGGGTAAGCTGACTAGAGAAGGTTTTCCTAGCTGGAATAATAGCAACAAAAGCCCAGAGGGAAGGTAACGTGAAGTTGTTTAGAGAACGATTGGGCTGGGGTTAGAAGATCAGTTGGGAAGGTCAAATGGAAACACTCGCTGAAGGCCTCAATGCCAGATAAAAAGTGTCACTTTGATTTTTTTTTCTCTTAGTTTATTGTATTGATGTCAAGCTCTGCCTCTCACCAAAGAGAACCCTACTAAAAATGGCACAGAAGATTATTTCAAAATAAATGAAAGAGAGAAAAAGAATTGAGAGGAAAGAAAAAAAAGACAAAATTGCTGACCATCAGGATTTACAGTTGGAGGCTTTAAGCTCTCTGGTGGCTAAGATGAAAAGGGCATTGTGGGGAAAATGTTCCTTTAGCACCTGTCTAAAGAGGAGGTGGGTGAGGTATTTCTAAAGGAGAAATCATTTTCTTTAGCAGAAGGTCTAGAGAGAAGAGTGAGTGGGTTTCACTCAGCAGACAGGCAGGAGTGGAGGATGATAGACTTGGGAGGAGGGAGTTAGATCAGTGTCCCATCTGGAGCTGTCTCTAAAATCTTGCCGTTATTCATTCATTTCATTTCCCCTTCCCTGCTGTAAATTTATTTGTGTGTATGTGTATTTGCAATTAGCCCTCCAAGTATGTGGAATCTTTTCAACCCAGGCAGATAGATAGATAGATAGATAGATAGGTAGATAGATGGATAGATAGATAGATAATTTGAACAAGCCAGGTGCCAGTGGCTTATATATCTGTAACCCTAGCAACTCAAGAAGCTGAAATCTAAGGATTGCAGTTCAAAGTCAACCTGGGCAGGAAAGTCCATGAGACTCTTCTCTCCCATTAATCACCAAAAAAAGAACCAGAAGCAAAGCTATGGCTCAAGTGATAGAGCTACTATAATCTCAAGCTAGTGCTTGAGGACAGTGCCCAGGCCCTGAGGTCAAACCTAGGACTGGCAAAAAAATATATATTAAAAAAAGTCTGTCTGTACAATGTGTACAATATGTACAAATTTTCTTATTATTCCCTAAATAATAGCATAACAATGATTTAAATAGCACTAATATAGTAGATGTGATTTAAAGTGTACAGAAGGATACCTGTAGATTATATGCCAGTGCTACTTCATTTTATGTAAGGGTTTGAGGATCCTCAGATTTTGGTATTAATAGGAGATTCATCAATCTCCCATGGAATCAGAAGGATAATTGTGTGTGTGTGTGTGAGAGAGAGAGAGAGAGAAAGGGAGACAGAGACAGAGACAGAGAGTTGTATATCTTTCTCCCCTCTAGTTACTAAATAAATTAGCAATAAATGAAAGTAATATATGCTTATTTCAGAAATTTGGGACAACAGGGATGTAACAGTATGTGTGTGAGTGTACACACATACGTGTACATACATGCCTGCTAGGCCTGGGACTTGAACACAGGGCCTAGGTGCTGAGGGCATAGCTCAAGTAATAGAGTGCTTGCCTAGCAAATGTGAGAGCCTGAGTTCAAACCCCAATGCTGCTCCCTCAAAATAATGAAATATAGAAAATTAGTAAAAACCTCCCATCTCTCCTTTCTTTTTTGCCAGTAGCAGGTTTGAACTCATAGTTTTATTCTTGCTGGGCTTGTTGGATTTGCTGATGTTCCCCTGGGGCTATACCTCCAACTCTAACTTTTTACTGGTTATTTTAGAGTTTTGGATTTTTCTACCTTTGCTGGCTTTGAACCAGGATCCTCAAGTCTCATCCTCTTTAGTAGCTAGGATTATAATCGTGAGTCATTGTTGCCTGGCAGTAAATTTCTTTTAATGACCCAAATTCTTCTCCAAGGGGCAACCATGCTTAGTATTTTGGTGTGTTCTAGTTTTTTTTTCCACGCATATACAGCTTTTCATACAATTAAGATCACACTAATACCTGTAATCTTAGCTACAAAGGAGGTTGAGATCTGAGGATCCTGGTTTGAAGCCAGACTGAGCAGACAAATCCAAGAGACTTTTTTTTTGTGGGGGGAGGGGAAGAGGGTCGGTCATGGGGCTTGAACTCTGGGCCTGGGCACTGTCCATCTTCAGCTCAAGGCTAGCGCCCTACCACTTGAGCCACAGTGCCATTTCCGGCCTTGTCTCCTTATGTGGTGCTGAGGAATTGAACCCAAGGCCTCATGCATGCAAGGCTAGTGCTCTACCACTGAGCTACCTTCCCAGCCCCCAAGAGACTCATATCTTAGATTAACTTGCAAAATGCTGGAAGTGGAGGTATGGCTTAAGTGGCAGAGAGCCAGCCTTGAGCACAAAAGTTAAGCAAGAGTATGAGGTCCTGAATTCAAAACCCACCAACAGCACAAAATTTTATTCTTGTTAATTAAGAAGGCAAAAAAAGAGTACTCAATTGTCCTAATTATAGTATGTTCTAAGTTGTTTAGATAAAATCTCCACTCTGGGAAATTGGCTATTTTATTGAAGGGCCAATCTTGACTGCCCCTTGGTCATAACTATAATCATGGTCCATGCCTGGGTGTGTGATATTGGGCAGAACCCCTCCACCCATTCTCCATATTTATATGATATATCACTGTATTATTCCCCCAACACAGGGGTTGACAATGGTGAGGATATCCCCCGGGATCTCCTGGTGGGTATCTACCAGCGCATCCAGGGGCGTGAATTGCGGACCAATGATGACCACGTGTCCCAAGTGCAGGCTGTGGAGCGCATGATTGTTGGCAAGAAACCAGTAAGTGTCATAGGAGGCAGAGGGGCCAGGGTTCTGGTCTGCCCTCCACTGCTGTGTGGTAAGTCACTGTCACTCTCTGAGCTCAGGTTCCCCATACCTGAGAAATGGAGTGGGTGATTAATGGATTCCCTATCATAGCGGTCATGGAACAGATTATGGGAGATGCTTTATGCAAATGCATCTAGCACATTGCAAGGCCTGTGCTATTATTAGCAAGCACCCTTCTCATCTCTGGTTTTGCCTGATCAACCCAGGTAAGGAAGCAAGCTGATATTAGCTGAGAAACAAAGCAAAAGTACATTTTGGTCAACAAACATTTATAGATGCCTTTCCATAGAGCCCAGAATTTTACTGGGCCCCAGAGATAAAAGATAAGATATGAATCAGACAGTCTCTGTCCTTAGAGGCACCTAAGGACAGGCAAAGACACCAATAACACTTCTTCCTGCTAATCTAGTTTAAGAGAGAGAACAGAAAGAGGGAGAGACTATTTTCAACCTTGAGAATTCAGGGAAGGCTTCTTGGAAGAGATAACTTTGGAATTTGCATTTGATGGAGGAAGGGTGCAGAGCTAGGCAGGAAAGGCATTGCAGACAGAGGGCACTAGAGGTACAGAGCGAGCAAGCAGAAAAAACTTAGGCCTTAGTTGGTTTATACTTTTTGTGTAGCCCAGTGCTGGTGGCTCACACCTATAATCCTAGCTACTCAGGAGGCTGAGATCTGAGGGTCGCGGTTCAAAGCCAGGCAGGGCAAGAAAGTCTGTGACACTCATCTCCAATTAACCACTACAAAACCAGAAGTGGTGCTGTGGCTCCAGTGGTATAGTACTAGTGTTGAGCTGAAGAGCTGAGGGACAGTGCCCAGGCCCCCAGTTCAAGACCCACCACCAATCAAAAAAAAGGGGGGGTCTTGGAAGGTGGCTCAATGGTAGAGTGCTTGCCTTGCATGCATGAGGCCCTGGGTTCGATTCCTCAGTGGCTCAAGTGGTAGAGCGCTAGCCTTGAGCTGAGGAGCTGAGGGACAGTGCCCAGGCCCAGAGATCAGGCCCCACGACCAACCAAAAACAAAAACAAAAACAAAAAAACTTTGTGTGTGAGAGTGACACGTATTTATTAGACATATATGCACTTTGCCTTGTGGTCAAATGTTAAGCTGATGGATTGGTCTTGCCAATCCCTGTTTCTCCATGCCTGTCCAGGTCCTCTCTCTTCCTCACCGACGACTGGTTTGCTGCTGCCAGCTCTATGAGGTGCCAGATCCAAACCGCCCGCAGAGGCTAGGGTTGCATCAACGGGAGGTCTTCCTCTTCAATGATCTCCTTGTGGTATGGACATTATATGGGAAAGATATAGGAGGGAGAGGAGTGAGCACAGCTGCTAGGTATGGATGTGAATTATGTTGATTGACATTTGGGTGTGGAGTATGATTTGGTGAAGAAGCTCTGCCATGCTGTCTGCCTGGTCTCCCACAAGGCATAAGCCTTCTTTGTTCCTCCTTTTCCTCACATGTCTATTTGGAGGTAGTAACAGGTATATGGGGGAGGGAAACAAGAAAAAAATATGAGGATGGGAGTGTAAACAGACTTGGAATCTGGGAAGTGATAAGTGATATAACTGTTCACCTCAGTAGCCCAAAGGGTTGGGTAGAGGTGAACGTGTGGTCCTGAGGTCGGTCTGCAATTTTTGAGTGGTCTGATAATGGAAGTCATTCTGAAAACTGAACTCAAGCTGGTCCCCAGTGGCTCACACTTGTAATCCTGGCTATTAAGGAGGCTGAGATCTGGGGATCGTGTTTTAAAGCCAGCCCAGGCAAGAAAGTCCCTTAAACTCTCCAATTGTTGGCTCAGTGGTAGAGCGCTTGCCTTGCATGCATGAAGCCCTGGGTTCGATTCCTCAGCACCACATAAGCAGAAAAAAGCTGGAAGTGACGCTATGGCTCAAGTGGTAGAGCGCTAGCCTTGAGCTGAAGAGCTGAGGGACAGCGCCCAGGCCCAGAGTTCAGCCCCCACAACCGACAAAAGAAAAAGAAAACCAGAAGTGGCGCTGTGGCTCAAGTGGTAGAGTGCTATCCTTGAGCTGAAGAGCTGAGGGACAGTGCCCAGGACCAGAGTTCAAGCCCCATGCCTGACCAAAAAAAGAAAAATAAAATCAGCTCATGCCAGCTGCTGGTGGTTCCCACCTGTTATTTTCTAGTTACTCAGGAGGCTCAGATCTGAGGATTGTGGTTTGAAGCCAATCCAGGCAGAAAATGCTATGAGAGTCTTATCCCCAGTTAAACCAGTAAAAAAGCTGGAAATGGAGGTATGGCTGAGTGGGAGAGCACTAGCCTTGAGTGAAAAAGCCAAGCAAGAGCTCAAGGCCCTGAGTTCAAGCCTCAGTATCAGTACACACACATACACCACCAAAAACAACTGAGCTCCTCACTGGTACAGAGATGTTGATCTTTTAGGAATGGAATTTCTAGGATTTTACAGATAGAAAGAGACTTTCATGATCAGCACAGCTTCCTAGATGGCTTATGTGACTAGACAGACAGAAAGCTGTCCTCCTCCATGGCAGCCAGCTTCCTTGTCAGGTAGCATGGACTGCTGCAATCTGTCTTCCCTAAGGGTTTCCTCCAATGAGCTGTACTTGACCCTTGAGAACACAAAGCAGAAGTACTCTCCTTTGGCTCCCAGACAGCTCTTTAGACTTGAGGCCAGTAATCCTGTTCGTGCTGTAGTCTTCTCTCCTTCAAGAAAGAATGTCTTAGTTTCAGCACTGTTAACATTTGGAGACAGGCGGGTGCCAGTGGCTCACACCTGTAATCCTTGCTGCTCAGGAGGCTGAGCTCTAAGATCACAGTTCAAAGCCAGCCCAGCAGGAAAGACCATGAAACTCTTTATCTCCCATAAACAACCAGAAAACCGGAAGTGGTACAATGGCTCAAGCGCTAGTGTTGAGCTAAAGAGCTGAGGGACAGGGCTCAGGCCCAGAGTTCAAGCCCCATTATGGACCAAAAAAAAAAAAAAAACATTTAGAGACAGACCATTCTCTCTTGCAGGGGCCTGTCTTAGGCATTGCAGAATGTTTAACATCATCCTTATCTCTACCTACTAGATGTTAGTAGCAGTTCTTCAACCAACAATCCGTTGAGAGAGAGGGATATAGAGAGATTTTTCAGGAAAAAATGTCTTTTCCAAACATCGCTCACTGTCTTGCAGGGGGAGGGCACAAAATGGCTTTCAGTTGAGAATCACTACTTTAGACAAAGCACTTCCAATGCATGCATTTTACACACACACACACACACACACACACACACACACACACACACACCACACCCCTCTCTCTGAGCTTTAGTTGTCTGCTCTTTGAAATGGGGCTAAGCTCAAACTCAGACCAACAAGTAGCATATGTTTTCTCCATATATGGAAGCTAGGTCTAAAATACATTGAAATATGATAAATCAGCTAGGCACCAGTAGCTCACACCTGTAATCCTAGCTACTCAGGAAGCTGAGATCTGAGGATCACGGTTCAAAGCCAACCGGGGCAGGAAAGTCTGTGAGATTCTTTCTTATCTCCAATAAACCACTCAACCAGAAGTGGTGCTGTGGCTCAAGTGGTAGAGCGCTAGCCTTAAGCTAAAGAGCTGAGGGACAGTGCCCAGGCCCAGAGTTCAAGCCCTACAACCACCACCAACAACAACAAAAGAAATATGATAAATCATACAGGACAATAGGCATTCACACACAGTGAGACCAAAGGAGGAAACTTAGTGGAGGAACACAAGGCAGAATGCTTATGTGCCTCTGATCATAAAAAATAATATATTGAGGGCTGGGAAGGTGGCTCAGTGGTAGAGTGCTTGCCTTGCATGCATGAGGCCCTGGGTTTGATTCCTCAGCACCATATAAGCAGAAAAAGCTGGAAGTGGTGCTGTGGCTCAAGTGGTAGAGCTGAGGGACAGAGCCCAGGCCCAGAGTTCAGGCCCCACTACCGGCAAAAAAATAAATAAATAATAATAATATATTGAGAGCTGGGTGCTGGTGGCTCACGCCTATATTCCTAGCTACTCAGGAGGCTGAGATATGAGGATCGCAGTTCAAAGCCAGGCTGTGCAGGAAAGTCTGTGAGACTCTTATCTCCAATAAACCACTAGAAAACCAGAAGTGGCACTGTGGCTCAAGCGGTAGAATGCTCACCTTGAGCTGAAGAGCACAGGGACAGCGCCCAGGCCCAGAGTGCAAGCCCTGCCACAGACCAAAAAATAAAATAAAATAAAAAAATATATATATATTAAAATGAATCCCAGGAAATGGAAACAAGTAGTTTGGGGGGGTTGTTTTCTTTCTTTCTTTCTTTCTTCCTTCCTTCCTTCCTTCCTTTTTTTCTTTCTTTCTTTCTTTCCTTCTTTCTTTCTGTTTTTGCCCTGTTTTGTTCATTTATCTGTCTTTGGGAGGGTAAGGGTTGGGGCACAGAAATGGAGGAAGAAAGAATGTAGAAATACACATTGGTACTCAGTAGGCATTATGTTGAAAATGAACTATACAACTTGTGGGTGGGGACAGGAGGGCAAAACTGGGAGAGAGTGAAGAAAAAAACCGGAAGTGGCACTGTGGCTCAAGTGATAGAGCGTTGGCCTTGAGCTGAAGAGCTGAGGGACAGCACCCAGGCCGAGTTCAAGCCCCACAACCAACAAAAAAGAGTCACTTACAGATTGTCCGCACCTATCTTAATGAGAGTCTAGAGTGCCTAAGTACTTTGTAGAGACTTGGGTTGTTGACAGAAAGACTTGTTCATCTTATACATAGGCTAGGCAATGGTTGCTGTTCTTTTTTCTCGCTGGATGAGCAAGAGAACCTGAAAATCAAAGGCCTGCCCTTGAGGCTAGCAGGAGGCAATCGTATACTCAGACTACCATGGAGTCAAGCAAAGGAGGAAGGTATCGGCACTCTGGAAACTTAGAAAGAGGAAACAAAACTGTGTGTGAGGTGGTAGAGGAGCAGTGTTCAGGTTGTGGAGGGAGCAGTATTCAGTTAATTCCTGTGAAAATTACAAAGGCTTGTGTATCATTGTGACATCAGGCATCATGACATCAGGAATTTGCATCTTCTTCTGTTTCTCCTGTTCTGTTCCTCAAGCTTCAGTTCTCCCCAATGTACGTGTGTGTGTGTGTGTGTGTGTGTGTGTGTGTGTGTGTGTGTGTGTGTGTGTGTGTGTCTGATTTGGGCATAGGAGGGAGAGTGGTTAGGAGAAATTGTACCACATGGAAATTCCCTTCCCCAAACCCTGCTTCTTGGTTTTTTTTCCCCCCACCCTTGCCAAAGGTCACCAAAATTTTCCAGAAGAAGAAGATCTTGGTGACGTACAGCTTCCGTCAGTCCTTTCCCCTGGTGGAAATGCACATGCAGCTCTTCCAGAATTCATGTGAGTCCTTTCCTAGCATCCCAGGATCGGCCCTGGGATGGGGCCCTAAGGACTGGGCACCAAGTCTACTTGGTCTCAGGATGAAGATCAGACTAAGATGGACTGAGACTGGGCTCTGGCCCTGGGGAAGAGGAAGGAACCACTGTGTTTGTGTGTTCCCTGGTGGGCCAAAGAGATGGTTATCACATTATGTTCTGAAGTATGGAACCCAGAGGAATATGAATGGGTGACATTCGGGACAAAAAAACATTATGAGCATAGGCGGGGGACAAAGGAAAGTTTCTAAAAAGCAGTGCAGAATTGGGTTTGCTTTTACATCCTAGAGTATAAAGAGTAAGACGGTCATGACTGCTAGGATTTGAGGACCAAAGGGAAACCACTGAAGATGCATGAGTTGAAAAAAGGCAGATCAAGCTGGGAGCCAATGGCTCATGCCTATCACCCTGGTTACTCAAGAGGCTGAGATCTGAGAATCACTGTTCTAAGCCAACCTGGGCAGCAAAGTCCATGAGACTCTTAATCTCCATTTAATGAGCAAAATCCAGAAGTGGAGCTGTGGCTTAGGTGGTAGAATACCATCCTTGAGTGAAAAAGCTAAGGGATAGTACCTAGGCCTGAGTTCAAGCCCCAGTATTGGCATGTGCGCCTGCGTGTGCGCATGCACACACACACACACACACACACACACACACACACACACACACACACACACACACACACACGGCAGAGCAAAATTGGATACTTGAAAGACTATTTCCAAGTCTGGTATAGTAGTACTCACCCACAGTCCCAGCTCTTGGGAAACTGAGGTTCAAGAAACTGGGGTTCAAGACCTGCCTAGGCAACATGGTAAGTCTCTGGAGAGAGAGGGGAGGGAGGGAGGAGGAGATAAAGAGGGAAGGAGGGGAGAGAGAGAGAGTGTTTATGGCTCATGCCCATAATCCCAGCTGCTTAGGGGGCTGAAATCTGAGGATTGAGATTTGAAGCTAAACTGAGGAGCAAAATCCGTGAGACTTTTATCTCCAGTTAGCCACTAGAAAGCCAGAAGTGGAGCTGTGTGGCTCAAGTGATAGAGTGTCAGCCTTGAGCAAAAACATTAATTGACAGTGCCCAGGTCCTGAGATCAAACCCCTGTACTAGCAGAGGGAGACAGAGACAGAGAGACAGAGGGGGGGAGGGAGGGAGAGAGAGAGAGAAAGAGGGAGGAGAGATATTGAAAGACAGACACACACACACACACACATATACGTAATTTCTCATCTAAGCCACCTTGCTTCAGTCCTGACAGAGGCCCCCCAACATGACCTTTCCCTTCCCTTTGTCCACAGATTACCAGTTTGGAATAAAGTTACTATCTGCAGTACCTGGTGGGGAACGCAAAGTCCTCATCATTTTCAATGCCCCCAGCCTCCAGGACCGGCTACGCTTCACTTCTGACTTGCGCGAGTCCATTGCCGAGGTGCAAGAGATGGAGAAATATCGTGTGGAGTGTGAGTAGCCCAGCCACATCTTCCTCCTGTCACGATACAGTGCCCAGCAGACACAAAGAATTCTATCTTCTGAGCATCTCAAGAGTTGAGGCTTAACTTGTCCGACCATCTTACCCTCTTTCCAGAAACCCTTCTGCTTCAATACCTTCAATGATAACATTACTTTTCCACCTCAGATTATTATTCCAAGCATTAAGAGTCTGTGCTGTGGCCTCTATACCCAGCCTTCAATCGTGAGCCAACTCGTCCTTCTATTGAAAGGCATCAATAAGGGAGAAGAATCAGGGTGTAGGAGGTAGGACTGTAGTTTCAGACCTCAGGTATGGTCCTTATTGTCTGGGTAAACTGGGGTGAGTTGCCTAGCCCTCCAAACCCCAGTTTCTTCCAACATGAAATTGGAGTTATAAAGATGAAATGAGACCAAGGTAGCCAAGATGTCCTACTATCTCCTTCATGTTCAAGAAATACCATTCTTTGTCTTGCCCTCTCCTCTTCACTCCTCACATATCCGTTCCTTAAGGCATTCCCATTAACACATCCTCTCAGCCCCTCAGAGACTACACAAAGTCATATTGATCATATACATTAGAAAATAGTGATTACATTTCATTTCCAGGCTAAGCAATCTCAGTTAAGTAAGTTGACATTAAGGAGAAAAAGACAGGGCAGAGGCAGCGGGACAGGATCTTTAGTACTTTTCAATTACACAGGATCAGGAGTTTCTGTTGAGCAGACCCTCAGAGACCCTGGAGAAATGTTGAGTGAGGGATTATCATGTCAAGAGGAGGGGAAGGCAATAGAAAGTTTTCAGGATCTCTGTGGGTAAAAAGGAGGCTGGAAGAGCCCAGGCTTGAAGATGAGGCCAACTTGCTTCCACAATATCAGCTTCAACATTCCCAACTCTATGACTCTGGGAAAGCTCTTTGACTTTTCAGATTCTCAGTGTCTTCCTGTACACAATGTGAATATTGTGGACTTGAGAGGGTTCAAGTATGTGTAGTATCCAGGACATTGCCTGGTGACATAATAAGAGGCTTTGATTTCTGTCGGTTGTATGCTCTTGCCCTTCTGGGAGTCCTCTACTCGACAGCAAAGTATCTGAGAACTCAGTGAACTCTGCAAAAATCTTGCCCTTCACCTTAGGGTTGATGGGCCTTCCTGTCTTTCCTGAGAAGCATCTGCTGGAAAACTCTTGTTGGAAGAACAGCAGTGTTTGGTGGATGGGGTGGGGAACACTTGGTTACAGTAGGACAAAAGAGGGGAGGAATGTGAGGGTAGAAAGGAGAGGAAAAAGGAAGAAGGAAAGACCAAATAGGAGGGGGGATGCAGGGTGCAGGACACTGGGGTAGAGGCAGTTTGAAGGAAAACAAGTGCTGGTAGTCTAGGAGCAGAATGGGAGGCCTGAAGAAGGAAAGAAGACCTATGGAGGGCTATGATCAGTCAGGTGAGCTCTCACTCCTGTTCCTGACCTGTGTTCCCTATCTTCCCCACTGCTATCCAGCGGAGTTGGAGAAGCAGAAAGGTATGATAAGGCCTAACGCCTCACAGCCGGGAGGAGCCAAGGACTCAGTGAATGGGACACTGGCCCGCAGTAGCCTGGAGGACACTTACGGGGCAGGCGACGGGCTCAAACGGGGAGCACTCAGCAGTTCCCTGCGAGATCTGTCTGATGCAGGTAGGTCTCCTGGGCCCCTACCCTAGCTGGGGAGACGTGGGACCAGGTGTCCTCTCTGCCTCCTATCACTGGCTGCCAGCCTTCCCTGCCACACATGCACGCACCCTGCCTTCACCAGGAGCCCTGGGCACTATGCCACAGGGGGGCCTGGTAACCAGGTCAGAACAGGTGGAGCCCAGGGTTTGGGCCAGGGAATGTGAAGTGGGGCCATAATCTCAGCCCCTCTTTTCCCTCTTCTGTCTCTCCTTTACCACCTCTCCTCCTGCTCCATCTTTTTCCTCCTCTCTCTCCTCCTTCTCCACCTCTCCTCCCCACCTCCCCCTCTTCAACGGGGGAAAGGGATAAATGGGGTGTCTTTCCCCGGGAGGGGCCCAGGCCTGGTGCCCAGATCTGGAGCCCAGCAGGGTGGGGAGGGGGGGTTGCTGCTCTGACGCTGGGCTCCTTGCTTGTGGGTGCAGGGAAGCGGGGGCGGCGTAACAGCGTGGGATCGCTGGACAGCACCATCGAAGTAAGTGCCAGCTCCTGCCCCACTCATCCTCTGCATGAGCCCTGCCCCGGCCATGGAGCCCCAGAGGAGGAGGGCGCCTGTTGCTTCCCCCTTCTTCCCTACTGGGAACTGTGCAGCTGCCTCTCCCAGCCAACCACTCTCTCCATCTGTCCTCAACTCTTGTCTGTCCTCACTCTGCCTGTCTTTCTGTCTGTCTTCCACTCTCCCATGCCCCTTCTCAGCCCGAAGTAGGGATGCCTTTGGACTTTGGGGTGTGAGAAGCTTTTGTCTCTAAGTCCTGATCTTTTGACCCTAAGCAAGGTCACTCTGCCTCCGTGGGCCCAATGTGTTCCTAGGCTGCAAAACGGGCATGAGGAGGAGCTCCTACTCAGTGTTCCTCTGCCTGCTGAGGCTCTCAGCTGAGGTAGTGGATGTGGCAGCAGAGTTGTCCAGCCTGGGGAGCTCCATGTACCAAGGACAGGACTGCTATTTGCTTTCCATTCTCACCTGGGGATCCCTGTCTCCCCAGCTCCAGCCCTCAGGAACAGGGGTGGAGCTTAGGGTTGGGGGTTTAGGATGTCTAGACTGGCCTGACTTCCACCCTCCCCCTTTCCAGGGGTCTGTTATTAGCAGTCCACGCCCTCACCAGAGGATGCCACCTCCGCCCCCACCCCCGCCGCCAGAGGAGTACAAGAGCCAGAGGCCGGTCTCCAACTCCTCATCTTTCCTGGGCTCCCTATTTGGAAGCAAGCGGGGCAAGGGGCCCTTCCAGATGCCACCACCGCCAACAGGCCAGGCCTCTGCCTCTTCTTCATCTGCTTCCTCTACCCACCACCATCACCACCACCATCACCATGGTCACAGCCACGGTGGTCTGGGGGTGCTACCTGATGGGCAATCCAAACTCCAGGCCCTGCATGCCCAGTATTGCCAAGGACCCGGGCCTGCCCCACCACCCTACCTCCCACCCCAGCAACCCCCTCTCCCCCCTCCTCCTCAGCAGCCTCCACCCCTGCCCCAGCTGAGCTCCATTCCACCACCACCAGCCTCTGCCCCTCCTGTGGGACCACATCGCCACTTCCATGCCCATGGCCCTGTTCCAGGTCCTCAGCACTACACCTTAGGCCGGCCAGGCAGGGCCCCAAGGCGAGGGGCTGGAGGCCACCCTCAGTTTGCTCCACATGGCCGCCATCCTTTGCACCAGCCCACATCCCCATTGCCCCTATACAGTCCTGCCCCCCAACATCCTCCTGCTCACAAACAAGGCCCCAAGCATTTCATCTTCAGTCACCACCCACAGATGATGCCAGCAGCAGGTGCAGCTGGAGGCCCGGGATCCCGGCCACCAGGAGGCTCCTATTCCCATCCCCACCACCCCCAGTCACCACTGTCGCCACACTCACCCATTCCACCCCACCCCTCCTACCCACCCCTACCCCCACCGTCACCTCACACCCCTCACTCACCCCTGCCTCCCACTTCCCCCCATGGCCCACTGCACGCCTCTGGGCCCTCTGGCACGGCCAACCCACCCAATGCAAACCCCAAGTCCAAACCAAGCCGGATTAGTACCGTGGTGTGATAAATGGAGCGAGCGAGCTGGAAATCAGAAAGGTCTGAGGAATCCACGGGAGAGAGATCTTACCCCTCTTCTTCCTACTGTTTTTCTCAAAATATATATACACATAGCAGTGTCCTCCTCTCCACTTTCTCTCTGCCTTGGGACCCCTCCTCCAGCCCTTAGCAGTGCCACGGGGTTTCCTTTCAGATTTGAGGGCCCTTGCCATTTACAGCCTGGACTTAGGGCACTCTTTGATGCTGGGCAGTGGTGGGGGTCTTTTAAAGATCCTCAACCTCTTTTTCCTGTCTTCCTCCCCCGCCCCCGCCACTTGTCCTGGTGGTCTAGCTCCGTGGCCTCAGACCTCCAGGCCAGTGTGAGCTCCCTTGCAGCTCTGACTGGTGGTGATGGGCAGATGACCAGAGCTGTAAAGGTGAAAGCTTCCCCCAGAGCTCCTCTGGCTGCATGAGCCTAGGAGAAGAGAGCTCTGTAGAGCTGTGGCCAAGCCTCAGCTGGCTCAGCCCTCTCTCTGACCTCAGGGCCTGGCCACACACCTCCATGTGTCTTTCTGCCTGTTCGAGGACACAGACTGTCAATGCACTCCGTGGGTGGGACCCCCGCTTGGGCTGGCCCCTACACAGGGCAGTGCTTCCTCTCTCTCGAGCCAGTCAATGCCCTCTCTCCAGTAGGCCCTAGCCCAGACCTCTTCGGCTTCAGGAACTTGGCCTTACCCTGCAAATGGTCTTATCCTGATCAAAGTCAAGACAGGTTTTCTTTGAGTGTGGGGGGGGCTCAGGTCTTGGATGAGAAGGGCACTGCCCTCCCTCACCCATATTGCATGCCCCCCCATTCCCTTTTGCCTCTCCCATCTACAACTGAAGACAATGCACTTTACAGATGATTGCCCACACACACAACTCTCTGGGGCAAGGTACCTAACATCAGCCTTGGGGAGGCGCTCCCAGAGGGCTACCCTGAGCCCAAGATGTCCTTCCTGAGGCAGAGATAGAAGCCATCAGAGCTGGGGCTGGGAGCCAGAATGCCTGAGTCCTTTCTGTCCGTCAAAATTTCCACTGCCTCTCCAGCCCTTTTGCAGCCCTGTTTATTTATTATAAATATATTTTTTACAAGTCCCAGCTCCTCTTCTTGCCCCGCAATCCAGCTCCTACATTCCTCTCCCCCTCTCCACTGTGGGCTGCAGTACAGATAGATAGATAGACCCTGGCTGTTGAAGAGCCAGGGACCCTGGGCTCAGGGGGTATGTGGTGGTGGGAGGGGCTGTATGGAGAGGAGCTGGCGTTCAGGCATTGTCTTTTTTCCTCCTTGTATATAAGAATGTATATTTGATGCCTCATAAAAGACCTCGTGCTCACCTCCTGCCTCTGCCTCCTGCTTGTCTTCCCCACCCCCAGCCACATTCCCCACTGTGGAGACCCTGGAGAAAGAGAGGCCTTAGCCCTGGGGAGATGATACACTCATGGTAGTTTGGGCAACTAGGTGGGGCTAGATGCCTTGGTTGGGTGGGAAGAGTGGTAAAGGTCTTCCTATCTCATTTCAAACATAGTCTGAATGACAAAATGGCAAGAATGTGGCCTTTGGTAGGGATGTAAACTTTGGGGATTTACCTGCCTCTACCTCCCAAGTAGGTAGGATTACAGATCTGGGCCATCATGCCTGATCCTCATCTCCAGCAGCTGGAGCCCTTTTAACATTTGATACCTTCTCACAGACAAGACCTAAGTGTTTGAAGAGCTAAGTGTTTGGTCCTGAATCAAATCCAATCAGCAGTATTGATTTGTCCTTTAGTGGAACAAGCTGGACTACCTTTGGTCACTACCATTCTCCCACCTTCAGCTTGAGGCTGCTTGAATTTTCCCCCAAATTCAGCTTTTACAGTTCTCAGATTGTGGCCCAGTGACTTGACAAGTCAAGTCACCCAGCCCCTCAGAGCATATTAGTTTTTTGTTTTGTTTTACTTAAAGGCTGGGGATAACAATATTGCAAGGCAATTGTTACCAGATGCACATGAAGAGCCTACCTCCTGCCAGACACATAGTCAACTGTTCTTGGCCACCTGTGGAAACAAGTGCAAGCTGCTTGCCTTCATGGGGTGACTCAACACCTTTGCAGTCCCTTCATTCCTCACTCAAGCTTGCACCATCTGCTCGCTGTTCTCTCAGAGTGCCTATGTACTTTCCCACCTGTTATTTTACTTGTGCCTTTCCCCTCCGGCCAGGCATGTTCCCTCCTGACATCACAGAGGCTTTCCTGCTTTTGCAAGATGAGCTTAAAGGACCTACCCTTGGCAATCTCTGCTCTTTTCCTCTGTGTCTGTGTCTGTGTCTGTGTGTGTGCGCGTGCGCATGCGCATACGCACGCGCGCGCGCGCACACACACGCATGCAGTACACATGCCAGAATTGGGACTTCAACTCAGGGCTTGGGTACTGTCATAGCTTTTTTGCTCAAGGCTGGCACTCTACCACTTGAGCCACAGATCTGTTTCTAGCCTTTTGGTGATTCACTGGAGATAGGAGTCTTAAACTGACTTGGAACAGTGATTCTCAGATCTCAGCCTCCCAAGTAACTGGGATTATAGATGTGAGCCATTGGCACTGGCACAATTTGTACTCTTATTTACGTTCTCAGAGATCCCTCAACCCATAATATTTCCTATCAGGCCACAGGTGGCTTGAGAGTAACTCTAGTGTGTGTCATTTTCTTAACATTGTCTAGGACAGTACACATATGTGTCTTACGTTTCCCCCATCTCCTTACAGTTTGCCTCTGTCTTCATACTCCATGAATAGAGCATTGCCTAGTTCTGCAAGCTGGGGCTTTTTAGTAATAGAAAAAACTTTTGGGCTGGGAAGGTGGCTCAGTGGTAGAACACTTGCCTTGCATGCATGAGGCTCTGGGTTCGATTCCTCAGCACCACATAAGCAAAAAGAAAAAAGCTGGAGGTGGCACTGTGGCTCAAGTGGTAGAGCGCTAGCCTTGAGCTGAAGAGCTGAGGGACAGTGCCCAGGCCCAGAGTTCAGGCCCCATGACCAGACCTCCCCCCCAAAAAAAAGAAAAAGAAAAAAGAAAGAACTTTCTATAAACTTCAATGTTCACTTTGGACTAAGCACTTCAGCACTTCAGACTAAGGAATTTGGAGGATTGAACTCAGGGCTTTGTACTTGTATAAGTTATGTAACTTAAGCCATCCCCCATTCCTTTCTGCCTTAGGCTATTTTTCAGGTAGGGCCTGGTTTTTTGTCCAGGGCTGGCCTCAAAATATGATCCTTCTACCTACTTTCTTGCCACCATGCCTGTGTGTGTGTGTGTGTGTGTGTGTGTGTGTGTGTGTGTGTGTGTGTTTTGTTTTTTTGGTTTTTTTTTGCCGGTTGTGAGGCCTGAACTCTGGGCCTGAGTGCCATCCCTCAGTTCTTCAGCTCAAGGCTAGTGCTGTACCACTTGAGCCACTTCTGGCTTTTTCTACTTATGTGGTGCCGAGGAATCAAACCCAGGGCATCATGCATGCAAGGCAAGCGCTCTACCACTGAGCCACCTTCCCAACCCCCTGGTTTTTGTCAGATGAGATCTAACTAACTCTTCCCCCAAGGGCTAGCTTTGAACCAGTACTCCTGACCTCTGCTTCCCTTGTAGCTGGTGTAATTACAGATGTGAGTCACCCATCTTGCCTCAAATGTCACTAAAGTACACTCTTGCTGGGCTTTTTCACTCACGGCTGCTGCTTTGCCACTTGAGTCATGTCTTCCCTTACTTTCACTTAGTCAGCTTTTTGTTAACTAAGTGGAGGTAAGTCACAGACAGTTCTCCCTGGCTGGCTCTGAACCAAAAATCTCAGATCTCAGCCTCCTGAGTAGCTAGAATTACAGGTGTGAGCCACAGGTACCAATGGTCCCTCAAGGATTTTTTTAAAAAATAATTTTGTTGTTATTAAGATGTTATATAGAGGGGTTATTTCATAAATCAGGTAATGAGTACATTTCTTTTTTTGGACAATGTCACCTCTTTTGATTTTCACATTTCCCCTTCCCATCCCTGCCCACAAGTTATATAGGTCATTTTTCACATAGTGTATACTGAATAGCATGGTTGCATTTAAATGTATTCAACTGCCTTCCCTCCCTTTCTGTGCCCCTTTTTGTCCCCACAAAAGAAAACTCAAGGGCTGGGAATGTGGCTGAGTGGTAGAGTACTTGCCTAGCATGCATGAAGCCCTGGGTTCAATTCCTCAGTATCACATAAACAGAAAAAGCCGGAAGTGGTGCTGTGGTTTAAATGGTAGAGTGCTAGCTAGCCTTGAGCAAAAGAAGCTCAGGGACAGTGCCCAGGCCCTGAGTTCAAGCTCCAGGACTGGCAAAAAAAAAAAAAACAAAACAAGAAAACTCAAAGCACAAACATCATCACCACTACCAACAGCAATAACAACAAAAACCCCACAATTCCATTTTCTGGAATTCATTTAAGTAAATAGTGTTTAAAACATTCAGAGAAATTACATCTTTGGGGTTCCTCCCCTACGGGTATCCTTTTTTTATCAAGAACATTTTTTATGTGTGCTGGTCCTGAGGCTTGAACTCAGAGCCCACACACTGTTCAAGAGCTCAGGGACAGTGCTCTACCACATGAGTGATAGCTCTATTTGTTTTGGGGGGAGGCATTAATTGGAGAAAGGATCTCATGGACTTTCCTGCCCAGACTGGCTTCCAACAGTAATTCTCAGATCTCAGCCTCTTGAGTTGCTAGGATTACAAGCATGAGCCACTAGTGCCTGGTTCATCATTCAAGTTTTGATGACTGAAGGAATGAATAGCTCCTTCTAAGCTAAGTATTAGTGTTAGCATTTTGTTGGTTGATTTGTTGATTGATATGAGCTGTGTGCCAAGTCTTTGGGCCCCTCTAGGATATCCTCATGCTGAGTTCAGCCCTTTTCTAAGTTCTCCTCCTGTTCTCATTACATTCTCAGAACTGGACTATCCCTGCCTCCCTCATCCTCTCATCTTCGTCTCCCACACTGTAGATGGGTAATTTATCTCACTTCCCCATTTCTTTGAGAACCTAAAGATAATAAGCCCATTTACTGTTCTTATATCAAAAGTGCTACTCCCAATCTCTTCGAGTTTGTAGGTGGGAAAGAACCACACATTAAAAAAAACAACAAAGGTTCTAGGACCTCACAGAGTTTTTGTGTTTGTTTTTTCCTTCTGATACAAGCCTTGTGCTTGCTCTGCTAGCACTCTACCACATGAGCCATGTTTCCAGCTCAGCTTTTGCTATTTATTTTGAAGCTGGAGTCTGTCAGACTTACCTATCCAGACTGGCTTTGAACCTCAATCCTCCAGATTTCATCCCTGCCCCCCCCCTCTGCCATACTTAAAATTACAGGGCTAAGCCATCAGTGCCAGTTATCTTTGTTCTAGACCAGTGCTGGCAAATAAGTCTTTCTGGACTGGCACCATTCGAGATAGTAACCACTAAACACATGTGGCTATTGAATACTTGAAATGTGGCTAGTGTGACTAAGGAGCTGAATTTTAAATTCTTAGTTAAATTTAAATAGCCACATGTGGGAAGTAGCAACCATATTGAACAGTGTAGGACAAAACTCTCAGGAGTGGGAAGCCTGGTAGAGATAATGTCAAGGCAATCTGACTGAATGTGTGGGAGCATAGGAGGTGGTAACTGAAATCAAGGAAGGTTTTCAGGAACTGCCACTTTAGCTGAGTTGAAAGGCTGGGAGGAACTGGCCTAATAAAGAAATGGCAACAAAGGCTAAGGAAGTATGAGAGAATTCAACAGTTACTAAGACAGTGAGAAAGGCAGGAGATCTGGAGGTGTGGCTTGGAGAGAGAGAGAAGGAGGAGGGAGGGCGGGAGGAAGGGAGGAGGAGAGGGGGAAGGGAAAGAGGAGGGGCGAAGAGAGAGGAGTGAAACTGGCAGCAGGCACAGCAGACACTGAACACAAGTGTAGATACAGACAGGCTGCTTCTGTGGATCTTGTTGCTATGTAACCAACAGGTTTTTCTCACCTTGGCTTCAGTGGCAGCTAAAGTAAGACCAGATGATACACTGAGCTTCTATAGTGTTTATTAATCAAGTCTTCATCACTGTGACAAAACAGCTTAAGGAGCCTAGTGCCAGTGGCTCACACCTGTAATCCTAACTATTCTGGAGGCTGAGATCTAAGGATTGCGGTTCAAAGCCAGCTTGAGCAGAAAAGTTTCTGAGACTCTATCTCCGGTTAACTGCCTTTAAAGGGCAGCAGTGGAGCTGAGGCTCAAGTGGTAGAGCACTGGCTTTGAGCACAAAAGCTCAGGGACAGTGCCCAGGCCCTGAGTTCAAGCCCCAGGACCAGCACACGC